GAAAAAATAATAATAATAAAATTAATAAAAAATAAATCAGTGATAATATAGTAAAAAATTATACAAAAATCACATACCCGCCATTAGAGTACATATCATTCTAGCGGKTAAAAAGAATTTCACGCGCCAAAACGGTATAAAATAATATTATGCAAGTCACRTCCGTATATTATTATGATTTATTGTGGATATCCCGATCGATAATAAATCATACTACGACAACAACGGCGTGTTCATAGATAAGTGTAAGTGTACTCACGTGCGAATTTCTGATATCGTGTCTGTAAAGCGTGTCGTCTATCTTCGACGTGACCACCACAGCAGCTGAGACGCACTCGACAAGCGGGTAACTGAACGACTGTCGAAGTGTCGACTGCAGTCGCTTGCAGAAGTCGCACGAGCGCGGTCTGAGTGAAAGTGAACGAAGGTGGCAATGTTTTAAATTTTTATTTTCTTACCGTCTCGTCTGAGCGCGCCGTGGTTCTGACCGGTACGTCTATAATATATATTAATTTTATCGTATATTATTATTATTATTATTATTATTATTATTATTATTATTATTATTGTACTCCACGGCCGTCGTCCGTCTTCTCGTAACGACAGTCATAACAATAATAATAATAACAACTACACTGAGACCGCCTCTAAAATAAAACAATGTATTATTATTTTGATAATTGACTAAAAATTTACACATGGATTGACTTTTCTAGTCGTGCTTCTTCTTGGTCTTCTCATCCTCTTCATCTTCGTCATTTTCATTCCATGAAGGTCACCGTCCCGTTTTTAGTTTTTCTTTTTACTATTTGCAAAAATTTAATTACAAGACGTGTCGTGATGGACACAAATCGTTAACGGTGGGAGTTCCGCTCAATTATGCAGTAATCCCATTTGTGCAAATCATTTTGATTCTATTAACCGAAAAATACATTTTATTGAGATTAACATTTATGCATTAGGTACATAATTATCCTATAGCTATTATATAGCCATATAGGTACCTACTTTAGTACTTGCGAAATAAAAATAATTAAATAATGTGTTTATAGATACAGCTGATGGCGTAAGCTTTCATTTTTTTCAAGTAAAAATTATTGATGGTATTTTGTAGTTATGGTTCAAATTTAAATTTAAAAAGGCTCTCATTTGTTAATGTCAACTAATTAGTTATTAGTTTATTACTTTATAATATTTTTTAGAACTATTTTTTCATTTGGCATTACACATATAATATTATTTATATTATTATCTATATACATATACCTATATCTATACACCAAGGTGGATTTATAAATTTATAAATTTATTTATAAATCCACCTTGCTATACACCTATACCTATAACTATACCTATACCTATATATAATATATATTATTAATTAGTGTAGGTATATTAATAAGTGTACATTTTGAATAAATTTTAYAACTTAAGATCCACTTAACCGATTTCGATAAAAATTTCAGGGCATATTAAGATCGATATTTAAATAGTCTCTGTGAAGTTGTTACGCTGTGCGATAAGTGATTCCTGAGTTATGGCCTCTTAAGTGCACACCTGGCGACATGGCCAAAAACAACAGCAAAATGTATGAAAAAATGAAAAAACGTTATTTTGTTTTCGGTAACCATGGTAACAGAGCTTTTTATTATTATTATTTATTTTCCACATTTTTGCAACATTTTTCACTGATTATTCGCACCTAAGTTTTATTGGTCGCAGCGTATAATGTTATATAGCTTAAACTTTGGACAAATGGACTATCCGACACACAAATAATTTTTCAATTCGAACCAGTATAGTTCCTGAGATTAGTGTGTACAAATGAACTCTTCAGCTTTATCTCTATATATAAAATATAAAAATGGATCCTTGTTTCTCTTGGTCATCGCATCACGCGTGAACAACAGCTGGACCGATTTCGCTAATTTTTTTTTTGTGTTCGTAATTGTCTGGAGAAAGATCTTAAATAATACAATTTTAGGAAAATCCATCATAAAAKTACGGAATCTGGATGTAAAAAAACAACAACAATAACGTCACTGTCCAGCAAGAAAATAAACTATATTTTGGTTTATTGTAAGGTCGCTATTGGTTTTTGGTTATGATTGAATATAATAGTTGTAGACCTGTTTCTATATTTTATCAGAAACATAACAACAAAAATAAGAATTAGCAAAATCGGTCATGTCCACCGTAAATCTCATAATCACAGCAATATAGATTAACATAACAAGTTGTACAAAGTTATGTTGTTTTACCAACAGCAAACAATATAAAAACCACGAGATGACACATTATTGTATTTTATCTCCACCGTAGTAAAAAAATTGATATAACTTTGAAACTCAGGGGTTAGAAACTATACGCTTACGTACACACCTCGCKGGGTTCGCAATCCATCACAGGTGGATTGCCTACCTGAAAATATACTGCTCGGATAATAATTCATATAAATTGACAGTAATACCTATGTATTTTATGATTATAATACACACTTTCGAATTTCAATATGTCTTTAATATAACAGTAAACACCAACATAAGGCCTATGAAAACGCCAGAAAAGAAACTAATACAMAGGCAACGCCGTGTCGGGACAGCTAGTTATTTTATATATTATGTCTATGATAATATAACCAAACTACCACAACGATTATTTCTGGAAATAAAACACATTATTACCTATCATACATTTTTTTTCAAACACTGAAAAAATATAAAATATATATGTAATATATTTAAATATAACATTTACGTATATCAGCGCGCTTATTGTTGGCAGAACAAAGAAGTCGTTTTTAAAAAATGTTGGTGCAAACGTACACTACCCCCCCACCCCCACCTAATGACAAATTCAGCAATGTTTTAATGTACAATTKAAAGAAACTCGTTGTTGAAATGTGCACAAAAATGCATACAAAACAAAATTGAATAGTACTTGTGATAAATTTACTAACATTTTACACATAAAATAAATTTATTTTGAAAACCTTTGTATATTTTATACAACACTTTTAGTTGAAATTTATACAGAAATGTGTGTGAATAATAATTATCTTAATATTTGTGACAAATTTACTTACTTTTACATGCAAAATTAATTAGCATACATATTCTGTGTAAATTTATATTGCGTCGTTAATTGAAATTTAACAACATTTATCTTATCTTTTGTCTTTTTATGGATTGATTTTTTTTTAAGTTTTAGATTACAAAATAAAAGTATTTATATTTTTTGAAATATTTGTGTATTATTATTGATGGTTTTAATTTCACGATTACATTTACCACATGCAGAAATAGGTACATATATAGACTTATCAAATATTATATTTATATTATATTGTATCGGTGAGTTAATTTTTTTAAATAATTAATWCTTTTTTAATCATTTTAATAAAGATTTCTGAATTTGTTGATACTTTTTTAGGTCATCGACATGCCATCTCCACTTATAACTTTATAAGCATTTATAATAACATGTATATAGTAGTTATAATATGTTTATCATCAAGGCCTCGTGATTGTTTTAAAGCCTTCGCTATGGTAATAATTTGCGTATACCTGCTACATTAAATAATTCTAACTGTGGTAAAAATAGTAAATAAATAGCATAATAAAGTCAATATTAGCTAACTTTATATAGCTTTCATAACGTGCCTATACTGGTTTAGAAGTCGTAAAATTCTTTCTCTTAAACACTAGGTTTATTTTTTAAGAAACTTTTTACATATTGTATGATGCCATATTTGAAAACATACAGAGTGATTCACAAAGCTATCCGCTTTTTATCCATAATAATGTATTCTGAGTCTTGGAATTTTTAACCACAGGAATTTAAAAACAATATATATAACTACTTAGATATTTTCATGCCTGCAATATTAATAAGTGTCCTGTGTGGATAATGGATACTATACTAAAGTTTATTAATTTTTTTGTTCTAACTTTTCAGATAAATGACTGCCCAGAATTACAAGCTTCGAAGATATCGATGCTATAATATGATAAATTGAATATGTTAGTAAATGTTATTGCTGCTATTGTATTAACATACAATTTCGAAAAATTGTCCGAGTAATAAATACGAGACAGTATACATATAGTAATATTACAGTATGTCTCAGTATGTCGAAACTCGTAGGAAACGGAAAAAAGTTTAAAATATTGGATTTTATTGTAATGGTAATATAATTATTTCAAGGTAATTTAAATTGCAACAAAAATCATCAGAAATAGGTATTAGGTACAGCTAGTACCTATAGGTAGTACTTACATAGTATGCAGACTGTAGGTAATATATAGTATATTATAGCCATAGAACGCTCTTTAAATCCACAGAATAAATAAAAGATGTCCAGACTGACTTATCAACTACTACCAATATCACAACAGTTAGAGACTAAACATGTTCATGGTATCTTCGTTCCACGATGTGAGGGTTCACAGGATTTTCCATAATTCGCATTTTAAAGAGGTACACTGCAGTCACTATACACGCAGGTATTCTTTGGTAGGTATATTCAYGAGAAGTTAATACTTYTCTATTTGTACCTATATATGGGCTGCTTTTGGTTTACAAAAAATAAAATAGTTTCTAAAGTTTGATATAACAATTGTTATATGTCTATATATTTTATATTTGCAAGTCAAAACTTTTAAGAACTGCATGCGTTGAAAATGTATGCGGCTTACATTTAACGGATTTTTAGATTGTGTAAATCCACGAGCATTTAATTTGTCTCGGGAAACACCGTGAAAAYGATTAGCTATAATCATCTATCTAATCTCTGAAAGTTAAATGAAATAGTAGTCAAAAACATCGTCATTAAGTACACATAAAATTCCAAAAAACAGAGTATGGATAAAGAAAAAAAACTTTGGACAAGAAAATCTGAACACTTTGAACCATGAAAATCCCCGCAGCGTARATTGCTTTATCAGTATGGGATTTTTTATCTCCGTAATAATCCAGTCAGATCTTGCATCAGTGATAAAAGGGAGAGGGTGGATCTCTATTTTGAAGGCTTAGCACTCTTCGTATAGCGAATTTAATCGTCAGTATGCTTTAATTATGATTTATTGCCCAAGGCCGTGACATATACGTAAACTATWGACGGTGAGATGTTAGTTTAATTGTATAATAATACGAGACGTTTATAATAATAGTTCTGGCCGAAAAACTTTTTGGCCTATAGTAATATATAGGTACTCTTCTATATGGAATCGATCGGTGTTAGTTAGGGATGTAAATGTCTGCATGTGACGATATCATAATAGGTTTCTCTTTTTTAGTTTTATAAGTTGTGTAATATGGAAAAGTAAATTTAATAGCGTTCGGAATAGATACTTTTGCATGAAGATTCGGGTTCAKGTCTGATTTATTTTCAATRGTTTTGCAAAAAACTGAAATGGTTTTAAAT